TACACTGTATCTCTGTGAAATCAGTGTCGTCGACATTTACAGGCATACCTATTACATTACCTCACTTTTTACATACTTTTTGTATTACTTTGCTCTTTCTGAGACTCTTGCTATATCGTAGTCTCCATGACAATTGTTCTTGTAATTCTATTTGACTGTTGAGAAATAATCTCTGTCTGTCGGTCTGTTCGTCTTTTTCGTCCGTCTGTCTGTCTGTCTGTCTGTCTGACTTTCTTTCTGCCTGTCTCTCTGTTTGTCTTTGGTGTAATCACGTTTTGAACATGGACTCCATGCATTACACATCTTATCATAGACGGTTCCTTGATGAAAGGAATCTATAGTGACCGTCTAGCAACCTGGCACATGAAACAGTGGCGGTTCATCCTTTGCCGGGTGCGGATATCCTTGGGCTGATTGTGAAACGATTCAGTTTCAGCTGTAATATTAAAAGAGCTTCAGTTTATCTGGGTTTGAACAACATTATGAACAATGACAGCACACGCAACTCACAATGATCTCCCCTGTTAGCGCTAATGCGCACATAGTTTTCCAGTTCTGAAACGTTCTTGTTGCTCATTAATTTTTCCATGTTATGGCTACCAGAGGCGCTTGCTTGATGCAGCCAATCTCACACTGCAGACATTTTCCTCAGATCACAAAACTAGTTTATCCTTTTTTATCAGTAACCCGACCCTACACTTCACCTCGTCGTCCACAGTCCTAAAAAAAAAAAAAAAGGCTGCATCGAGATAAAATTCACTGCTCTAAATTAGGCTTTAATATTTTTTTGGGGAAAAAACAGCTTTAAAATATCCACAGCGCACAGTATTCAGCGCCTTGTACAGAGTTAACTTCAACATCACCTGTGGCCACGACTCATCGTCGCACTCGAAACAATGTACATACCTCAATGCCAAACTCACCTTCAACTCCAGGGCACATTCATGTGCATCATAAGCAACGTTATTACATTTATCAGATAGAAAAGTGTGATGCATTATTTCCCGCCTTGCCTGTAAACTAGTATAACCAAGTAAAAACTAAACACACACTCACGCGCGCGCCCGCATGAACACAAAAACATTGTCAATCAATTGTATAAATTTAAAAAAAAAATTGTTTACTTACCTAACTCATTCCCCTTCTTGTATAATTATGCATATTAGGACTCAGATTGTTATTGGAATTTACGATCATCATAGAACAGAAGGTGTGGAACTAAAAAACTGAAGGACTGAAAGAATTATGGTTCGGCTGGTTGCTTAAAGATTTATAAAAAGAAAGTAGGATCATTATTCACCGCTAATGATGCGGGATGGTCACTTCTTCTTTCTGCTGACATGGTTTGCTGTGAATCGTTCTCGTAAGGGTCATAAACAATACCATGCACTTAAGGTCTTTACCAGTACCCAATGTTTTATTATAAATTATACATGCTGCAAAACATAACTGAAGCAAAGGGTTGATTGTAACTGATTCACAATGAATGCTGATAAAGGCAATTCTTCCTGTAGAGAGGCAGACATTGCTTCAAGTGCCCTGTGACCTTTTTTTCAGGGCAAGATTAAAAATAAAAACGAGCTGTTCTATTCGCCAGAGAGAACGAACTAAATAAAGATGTGTGCATCTATCCAAGAGCAAGATTAAAACTAACCAATGTTCTTTCTTTCCAAGCGTTGTGCCAATCCATCTGGATGTACAATCAAACTAAGCTGATTCCAATAATTGTAATTCTAAATCCCATTCTAAAAACGCTAAATATAGGGGTAAATAGGATTGATCCGAGCTGCCGACATGTACAGTGTTAACAGAAGGAAAATATTTCCAGGATGAATTATCCATTCTGGTGACATGATTGAGAGAGGCTGTTGGAGTGACCAGAAAAGGTAATAGCAGGAATGAAACCTCATGAGGAAAAGGTTGACATAGCATAGTGGGAATGTCTTGTGATGTCACACGATTCAAGATGTACATCAAACGAGGAGAGACGCAGACCACGAGGTAGACGATGAACAAGATGGAAATATTACATCAGATAATCCCTAAAAGAGTATCATGACTCTATGGTCAAGACAAACGATCAAGAAGCAGCGCCCTAAATATGCCTTGAAACCCAAGTAGGTATGAAGAGAAGTGACAAAGAAAAGAAGAAGAAGAAGAAGACGAGGAGGAAGATGAAGACACTCCTACCATTCTTCCTTCCACCTCGAATTGTAAACTAAATATTTCCCAGACTGGCTGATCCAGTGAGCCATTATTCGGATACTACTCCAAGAGGAATAAACCCCAGATGCCAATGTCAACCCCAGAAAACAGTAATGTTAGTGTATCCGCTGCTACAATCCCTTTTTGATTAGTGGTAAGGGCGATTTACAGGATATAAATGGGAAACAAATCGACTGAAGGAAAGAGGACGTCCAAAAGAAATTATATGACAAATGTGGTTAAGAGAAGTCATCGATGCTGAAATAGAATCATATACGTTATTGAAATAACTGGATTGGAACAGGATGGAATGTTGTACAAGAATCGACACCATAACACATGGGACACTCCCATCTCAGCAGTAAGTAAAAAGTAAAGATCCCTTTTTACGCCTTAGGCGCATCGGGCATATGGGAAGAGCGTCTTATTTTTTACATACCAATCGGCACTGGGTGGGTAATGCGGTCAGCATTACGCCGGCCGTCTTTAGGTCCCCAGGACAGCCTAAGACACGGACGCCGCTCATCTTAGCAGTGCTGGACACAAAATGGAATATCCTAGTGGATCATGAGAGTGCCTATATGTCAGGCGTCAACAGGATGGAATAAAGACATCGACTGTAACTAGTGTATGACGTACAACATCACTCACTGATTGCTGAGTTACATGTTTTCTTACGTGTTTGTTGGTTTGAATGTGTCAAAGCAATAGAGTCAAGCTAGAAATATCAGTGCTGAAAATCTGCACAATCCTTATTTAAATACATAATTGCAATATTTTAAATGGCACAAAAGGTAATGAAATACTTAACCAGTATGAAATCTGTAAACACATATTTAAAAAAGTATTCTATGCATTGTTGGGAAAGGTTTTTTTGAGGGGGGGGGGGGGGGGGGAAAGGTATGGGGGACACTTAGTTCCCCAAAATTTTTTGGAAAAAGGGCCCTAAAGAAGCATAAGGCACAAGGTCAAAATAAAACAGATCTGCCTGGACGATCTTGTGAATCTATGCCTACCAGGACGTGCTTTCGGAAGTTCAGTCGCAAAATATGATGCTAGATTCATATATGAAAAATAACTGGGTGATGGGGCCTTGCCAGTCGCCTTTACTTCCGATGACAGTACTGGTACCCATTTTAGGCTGGGACGACCTGGGAGCAAATGTAATTTATAGGAGACAAAAAAAATCTGACTCGATGAGGATTTAAACCGAATACCTTTGGTCCATAGGTAGAAAGTCTAACCACTGCACCACAGCGATTCATGTAGAGGTTTGTTACTGGGTGAAAATTATTACGTTTAAAGTAAGAAATTACAACTGACAGATCCATAGATAAACAAACCTGTACTTCACTTTTTCTCCGGGCAAGTTCTTTCACTCCCCACTATTGCGAGGTCATGAGCCCGCCTAAATCAGCACTCCAAAAAAAAAAAAAACTGCCAGTGCTATGTGTAAATAAATATATAATGATGTATGGCATGGCTGTTAGCAAGAGGGATTTGTCGTGTACAACCGACGACAGAAATCAATAGACAAAAATGGCACGCCTAGGAAAGCTCAGTCTCCGGGGAAGCTATCTGAGCTACTGAAAAGTTAGACAGACAGTGATTCCAAGATATGTGTCCATTGGCATATACAATGGACAAGAGAAAGACGGGGTAGCGTACAAAAACAATGTGGTGTCATGTTTCTTTTATCTTTCCCTCCTCCTACTTTTCTTCCACAACATCCTCGTTGTTATTTATCTTCTTCATCTTTCTCTCGTTACCTCATCGAGGTGTTGATATACCGGGATTCTGTGTACCTTTTTACCGCGTTGTAAAAACTGATACGGCTGGTTTTGACTCTGTTGTTCCATATTTCGTCTGGTCTTACCAAAGTTATGCGTTTATTGTATTTCTTCAACGTGTTTTCTGTGGTAGTAGTTCCTATAGATGACCAAACCATCCCACCTTGTTGTAATATTACGAAGGAATTGAAATTATTTAGGAACCTATTACATCACCCATGATATTCCCATAAGCGTTACGGCCTAATTTTCAGCAGCCAGTCCTATGGGTGCAGGTTTAACACTGGTAGCATAAAGCTGGCCAGAATTAGTTCGTTATGTGTGTGTGTGTGTGTGTGTTTGACGTGGTAGACAAATGTATCTGTCTTTGTGTCAAAGCTGTCTTGTTTATCGGCACTCAATTATTGATTCTGACGTTAGGCTAGGTTGACTTGGGAGCCCTAGAGTAATTATAAAATGGCACCTTCATTCAGCTTCGAACACAAAACTCTCTGACTGATAGATAGGCGTCTAATCCCAGCCCAGTCGATACTCTGTTAGCGTATTTAACCAACTGATAATGTATCTGATATATTAAAACCTGATTTAGTTGCATGTATACACCATTTTGCCTCATTCATATCATGACTTTGTTGTTTAATTTCACATGGAGTTACCATTTTCGTCGTATTTAATTATACTACAATTCACATTTGATAGATATTTTAAAGCAGAGAAGGTCAACTTCATCGTAACTAGATAGATGACTCGGACTCTCTTCAGACAAAGAAAGAAAGAAAACGCGTAACCAAGAGAAAGTCACATAAAAACAAGAAATATGTACACCCAGTAATGACAGTCGTGGATTTCTTTTAAATTTGCATCATTGGAGACATAAATGATCTCCTAAGCTCAATGCAAAATGGTTCTACCAATTAGCAACGGTGACCCCGATGTCCACCTTTCAGTTGCCAACAAATAATTACTCTTATCTCAAGCTGCTTTGTATTATGTAACTTTCAGATGATGAGACTAAAGAAATGCACCAACCTCACAGAAGCCTTGATGCTAATACCAATGCTCTTCTTGATGTGCTCTGCAAGCAAGAACAGCTCCTGTCCTGCACAATGCAAGTGCACACAAGAACAGCTTACAGACATGGGGCTTATTTACAACATCAACTGCAATCGTAAAGGTCTGCTTGTCGTGCCAGACTTAACTATTCTGACAGAAATACGCCTCCCTATCTATCTCAACTTTGGCAGCAACAAAATCACATCTGTCTCCACGATCGACTTCCCACCTGACCTCAACATCTTCCGCCTAGATTTAGACCACAATATGGACATGAATATTGAGGATGATACCTTCATCAATTTAGCGCCCACACTGAAGAAGCTCAGCGTGGAAGCAGTGGGGTTGATCTTTAACCGGCCTCTTGAGATGGTGAGTTCTCTGGAGAAACTGGAAGAGCTTTCTATTAGTCACAATAATAAAATTGGGTATGTAACTAACGCTGTCAAGGATGTGGAAGCTGTGTTATTTCAAAGTGAATGGCCTGTTTCAAAATCAATGAAAATACTACGCATGTCACATTGCAGTATTAGGTCCCTGTCCCCAGCCAGTTTAGACTCTCTTATATCACTCACTGAACTGGATCTGTCCAACAACTGGTTGACTAGCGTGCCGTCAGTCATCAGACATTTAAAAGATCTGAGAAAAATCTCATTGTTTCGTTGTCAGATTAGCGTGTTGGAGGATTACTCATTCCTGGGGTTGTCCAAATTAGAAGTAATTGAACTTACCACTAACCCCCTGACAACCATAGAGAACAATGCATTTATCGGTTTAGAAAACTGTTTAAAGAGACTTCAGTTAGAATTGTGCCATCTTCGAGACATTCCTTCACAAGCAATAAAAGATTTGACAAAGCTGGAATATTTAGATTTATCACAAAACAGTTTTTCTGTAGCCACAGATACGTCCTTTACTGGAAAGTATTGCTTGAAGGAGCTTTTGGTCAGCGCAGAAGGGATGCGGTTTGAGCCGCACGCATTTTCAGGTCAAAAACATTGCGTGACTGACCTAACAATAAAATCGATGAAACTGCAGACTGTTCCACGTGAGGCTATTGCTGAGATAGAGAAACTGGCTCGCCTAAGCCTGGAGTTCAACAACATCACTGTGCTACCCAGGGAAGCTTTCAGAGGAATCAAAGCAACGAGCATTAATCTGGCGAACAACAAACTCAAACACATCGATCCTGGAGCATTTCTAGGTCTCCCTCCCCACTTGCATTTAAACCTGAGAAGAACTGCAGTTTCGGATATTGATTTTCTCTTAGGATATCCTGATGATGCCATAGATACTGTCAACCTAGACTATGCAGAATTAGAGTGTAGATGTTCAATGAAGTCTGCCCTAAATGCCACGTTGAGCGTGGAGATCTACGGTTCATGCACAAAAGGCCAGTACGTTGTACCACTGAGTAGTAGTAGACTTGAGGGAATACTGGACACAGTATGTCTGGAGGAACAGGCATTGAATGACGGATACACGGCCGCCTTCCGCAGTGTGTTGTATGGTTTCTGCTTTATATTATGCGTTTTGCAACTGTGAATATGATGAAAGGTGATAGATATGCATTAAGATTGGTTGGGGTATACAGGTATTAATCACTACAACAACGAAATGGCGAGACACGATGCATGTGAGAAAATATACGTTTTACTCAGTCACTGAAACAAGGCAGACATGCTGTATAAGAGAATATATGCGGTTCACTCTAGAGCTGAAACAAAAATGCAGATATGATGTTTGCAAGTTTGTATGCGATTTACCCAATGATTTAACCAAATGTCAGATCTAATTCAGCACTAAATAAAACACTGTGTATGCGAAATTTGTATACTTTAAAAGCAATGTCAGTGAAAAAAAAAATGTCAAATGTGATGTGAATCTACTTTTGAACAAAATATTGAGGCACGGTGCATACGAGAATGTTAAAGTAGAATATATAAGTTAACAAAATAGTGAAACTGGCGTTTAAGAAAATAAACCAGTTCAAATCTATCATTGAAAAATTGTTAAATATACCAGCTTAATCTGTCATTTAATCTATAGGAGGAGTGGGGGGGGGGGCGTTAGCGCTGTCTATAAGAGACTCGCTTTCAAATCCAGCTGTGACTTGCTGCAGCCCACCCGGTGTTCCAAACCGGACGATTCCCGGGGTTCACCCAGCCTCTAACAAATGGGTACCAGAGTTAACACTCTCGGGTAAAGGGAGGAACATAGCTGTAGCTGTGGAGTTTCGTGGGGACGGTGACACATTCGGACAGTTTCTTATCAGCTGTCCGTACTGGTGGCAGAGCACTTATGGTTTATAACCGTGTGCAATGACGCTAGTTCACATCTCCAGACTTTACTTTTTATTTTTTATCTTAATCTATCATCGAACAAAATGGCGAAAGAGGATATACAGTTCCAGTTTAACAGTAAACTGTTATGTTAAGCCAACCATAGACCAGTCTCATTTTCAGTGAGCGTACACCCAGGGCAAGAGTGCAGATTCTATTGCAGCTTTCATTTACTACAAAAAAAGTACCTGATTGATAGAATGTGAGAACGCATTGTTAGTACGCCAGCTTAATTAATGCCGCAGTATTCACACTAACTGTTTCTTATATGTAATCAATGTTACGTGATGTATTCTTTGTAGTCTGTGATACGTATGATACAAAGGGAGTATTATCATTGGTTTATACAAGATACTCATGGTATAGTAAGCGTATTATTATTGATTTATACAAAATTCACATGATATACAACAAAATTATTATCACTGATTTTTTATTTTAGTTGTAACCAGGTTAATTGTTGAGTACCACTTTGGCACTTTGCACATAACGCCATGTTCCGCCACAACCTTTGGATCGACAGTGAGCGTCATGCCACTACACCACGGTGACTCTCACGGGTATAACTATCCTATTTTCATGTTTGTTCAAACACAAAGCTTCAGGTTGTCTTACATGAGCTGGTAATAATTAAATCGTGATTGGGTAATCCAAAGTATTATAGCCAATTTATGTCTATTATGTTTGATTGTTTTACTTCTTGTATATTTGAACAAACAAGGCACACACCCATTAGTTAGTCTTTCCTCTTGCGCCTAACTAAGGCAGCGCATGGGGCAGAGGTCTTTGCTCTTCATGTCTGGCGGTTCCTTGCCACCTGCTTTAGGTCTTGGATGTTCGTTAGCCTGCTATGATGATAGTTCTACGTAGTGTCTCTCTTGGTCTTCCCCGTTTTCTTTTCTCTTCAGATGGTTTGAGGGCTTGATGGGGAAGTCTTGAGCAATTCATTTTAAGTGCATGGCCGATGTAGTTCCAGCGGCGCTTTCTTATAAAATTGGATACATTGTCTTGCTTTGTATCTTATCCGTTTATTGGATCTTAAATCTAACTAGTAGTTATTTAGTATTTTTTTGCTCTTAAAATTGTTTAATTTTATTTTTTTAAATATTGAGAACCATCGCTGCTTTCCAACTCTCGCATCCACAAATAAGCACTGAGTTGAAGATCTTAAGTTTTACGTGATTGCTGAGTGTCTTTGACTTCCAGAAATTTGGCATTTTGTAAAAAGCACTGGATGCTGGTCGATTCTAGATCATATTTCTGGCGCTGAGTCCCCTATAGATGTCGTCTTACTCCCTACGTATGTAAAGTGTTGACTTTTTTAAGAATGTGATTGTTTAGTCTGATATAGTCTGAACTAGTTACTGGTGCCATCGGAATTGAAACTCTTTATTTGCTGCTGAATATGGGGATAAAGCGCTTATGTGGGTGCCCCATGTGCTATAATATGGATTCTTAATTCAACATTCAACATGTGTCGTCTGAACTATTCGTAAGATCAATAAATTTTGTTTTTGCGCTGTTTCTTTGAAGACCAATTTTTCCTGAAACGTTTTGGAGATGGCGGTTTGTTTATTCTTGGATATCCAGGTGACCTCGACGGCACTATGTCGTCAGCAAAGTCAAGGTCTTCTAGATTTTTGTCAACACATTTCATAGCCATATGTGTACTGTTTACAAAAATAGACTACACGACTTACCTCTTGGCTTATTACCCTGTATCTCTCCAAATAAATACTTTATTTGTTTGTGACTTCTTTGTTGAAATTAACAAGCAGGAACAGATGTGTGATTTGTAAAAAAAAATTTTTTGTTAGATATTTTAATTGCATCTGCTATAAACTGATGTAGTGTTTGTTTATAATTGGTATTGATTTAAATTCGCTGAAACACTGCTATTTTGCATTCAATTCTGGAAGTTGTAGGACAGAGGACATAAGTGATGACTAATGTTACACAGCAGGGATTAGGAGAAAAAAAGCAGCAGCCGCAGAAGAAGAAGAAGGTGAAGAAGAAGAAGGTGTAGAAGAAGAAGAAAAAGAAAAAGAAGAAGAAGAACGTTCAACTATGTTTGTGGTGACATGCCATCTTTTTAGGTCTCGTGACGTTTTGAAAATAATTGTTCCTCAAGACTCAATTGTCGGAATGCTAACTGTATTGTGTTTTCTAACTTTGTTGTTTCGATAAGACAACTATTGCTTTTCACTCCGTATTTAGTTAAAATTGTCTTTGATCTCTGTATATTAGCTATGTATTTACCAATTGATTGACTCTATTTGTAGATGAATTTACGTAATAGCTTTCAATGAATAATTTGAAGATATCGATGGTTGCTTCGCTTTTCGGGCTACAGTTTTTATCTGCCTTGCTTTACATTTTAGCTAATCAGCGCCTCCAGGTTGTAGGCTGTGAAAGCTGTTACACGATTCCGACATATGAGGTTTCGAAGTCTGCTGCAGACTACTGCTCTACAATAACCTAATCTTAGGGGCGATAATATTAGCCAGTTAGAAGCCGCTGACAACGTTTCAAGCAGTCTCGACGGAATAACTCTTGCCAGTCTGTGAAACCAAGGGAGGGAACATGAGCAGCGGACATTGATTATTGCTTGGCGTGTTCTGCGTTCATTTTTAATAAGCTGCCTCTCTTGGTGGTTGCCTCTTGGTTTGTTATCATCTATCGTTCTTTTCAGGATGAAATTTTTTGTTATATGAAGCTCCACTCTGGCTTTTTCCACGGGCCGCAATATAGTCAGGCCATAAATATGTCCAATTGTCTGAACGCGGTTTCTGGGACCTCTCCACGGCGATCCTCATCCACATCCACATAATAAATTAAATTTTTCTTACGTCCTTTTTAGGACGTAATTTTTTTGTTATTTGAAGCCCCACTCTGGCTTTTGCCAGTGGCCGCAATATAGGCAGGCCATAAATATGGCCAATTGTCTGAACGCGGTTTCTGGGACCTCTCCGCGGCGATCCTCATCCACATGGTGGCACTTTGTGTCATCGGGTGTTTATCGCTTGTGTGATGTCCTGGTGGGGTAGAAATTCAGTTCAGTTCAGTTCCACATGGTTATTCCTTACTTACGTCATCTTCAGGACGTAATTTTTTCTTATTTGAAGCCTCACTCTGGCTTTTGTTAGGGGCCGCAATATAGGCAGGCCATACATATGGCCAAATGTCTGAACGCGGTTTCTGGGACCTCTCCACGGCGATCCTCATCCGCATGGTGGCACTTTGTGTCATCGGGTGTTTATCGCTTGTGTGATGTCCTGGTGGGGTAGAAAGTCAGTCAGTCAGTCAGTCCACATGGTTGCACTTTATGTCATCGGGTGTTTATCGCTCATGTGATGTCCTAGTGGGGTAAAAAGTCAGTCAGTCAGTCAGCCCCTTGTGGGATAACATTTTTTGTTATTTTGAAGCACCACCCTGGCTCTCGCCAGGGGCCGCAATATAGCCGGGCCATAAATATGACCCAATTGCTACACGCGGTTTCCGAAACCTCTTCACGGGTGATCCTCATCCGTATGGTGGCATCTTGTGTCATCGGGTGTTAATCGCTTGTGTGATGTCCTAGTGGTGTAAAATGTACTGCGACTAATATACATACATACATACATACATACATACATACATACATACATACATACATACATACATACATACATACATACAGACAGACAGACAGACAGACAGACAGACAGACAGACAGACAGACAGACAGACAGACAGACAGACAGACAGACAGACAGACAGACAGACAGACAGACAGACAGACAGACAGACAGACAGACAGACAGACAGACAGACAGACAGACAGACAGACAGACAGACAGACAGACAGACAGACAGACAGACAGACAGACAGACAGACAGACAGACAGACAGACAGACAGACAGACAGACAGACAGACAGACAGACAGACAGACAGACAGACAGACAGACATACATACATACATACATACATACATACATACCAGTCGACACTGAGTATATACATATCAGCATCGGAATGGGTAAGGTAGCAATAAGAATGAGCAGATTTACAAAAAAGAATCTTTCAAAACATAAGAAACAGCTAAAATCAAAACGTTTGTTTATCAAAAGTATCTTCAGTGAAACGTGGCAGTGAAAGCTGGTCAACTTACCAGTACTAGGAAAAAATAACTGTCATGTGCGATATATACCACGAAGGCTCT